GGAGATGTCAGAAAGAGTACTCTTCATGGTGAGAGCTGCAGAATTTCTATGATGATCTATGATGATCTTACATGAACGTAAACCCTGAATGTAATACACCCTAGGTATCCTCAGGAAGTTGTGGAAATCGTATCTCCCCCTGTATACAAAATGTAAACGTGATGTTTTTGTAAGAAATTTGTAATGAGTAGGAGCAAAAAATCCACCATGAAAGATACCAGGACTTTAGATCTTTGACTTGCCCAGGTGAAGAAACAGGGCAAACGGCTTCAGAAACTGACACAAGTCCTGAAAATAATTCATGATACGACATTGGAATTTGCTATCCCAAGTAAAAGAAGTAAATTTGATTGAGTCCAAGCAGCTTTTTATATCCTGAGCAATGGGGGCCGTTTTGAATCTTGGCTGATGTTTACTTTCCAAATAAGGCTGCTGGCCAAAATAGCAGGAAATAAATTGAAAAGTATATTGTTATTTGTATTTAAATAAAAATTAGGACAAAGTTGTCTTCTGCCAAATACAAGACATATGCCTTAATATTATGGATGTAATTTAACAAGTGAGGTTTTAGTTTCATAAGCACCCTAGTCTCCAAATTTAGTAATACCTCAATCTATCTCTATTTTGCTGCCTCCCTAAAAAATTGAAAAAGCAGATTTTTTTCTTTTGCACAAATGTAGACAAAGGAAAACTACATGGGAGGCACTTGAGGCAGACTGTTTTAGAATTGTTCTTTAATCCATTTTAGAATTGTTCTTTAGTCGGAAGAGATAGGCTTGTAAAATTCAAGTTTGGGCAGTGAGGAGTTTGTGTTTCATCCCACACTTCATCTTTTCCTACTCTTTAATCAATGCTACGCATTTTTAAATGTACAACTTGAGAGACTCCCCCCCCCCATTTCATTTTCACGGCCATGTAAAGAAAGCAGGCAGCTGGAGTCAAGACATGTCAGGACCAATGCTCCCTCTAAGCTGTGGAGTCCTGTGAGCAAAAATTCTACTGGCATTCAAGTGGTGAGCGAGCCATTTGGCTACCGCACCAATTAGTTTGCTCTGGAGCCATCCCTTCCTGAGCGGAGACAAAAAGGTGTGAGCCGGAGGCTAAAAAACTGTGAGCTTGCTCACACTAGCTCAGCTTAGGGGGAACACTGGTCAGGACTACCTGAAATTTGCCTCAGCGAGCAGTCGGATAATTTATTTATCAGTGGCAACCCCTGCTTTCTTCGACAGAGCTCCAGATGGTGACAGCTTCTTTGCGACTATCCTGTAAGAGTCACTTAGGCTGAGAGACAGTGGGTTGGATCCAGAGATCGATGGGTACAAGGATCACAGATCTTTCACTCCAGCTGTCCTTTTTGACCCATTAAAGTTGATTTCTGGGGTCACAGGCAGTGTTCCCTCTAAGCTGAGTTAGTGTGTCGGCTCACAGTTTTTTAGCCTCCCGCTCACACATTTTTGTCTTCGCTCAGGAAGGAGGGCTCCAGAGCAAACTAACTGATGCAGCCGCCAAACCGCTCGCTCACAACTTTAATGCCAGGAGCTCACAAAGTAGGATTTTGGCTCACGAGACTCCACAGCTTAGAGGGAGCAATGGTCACAGGACATTCACATGGGATGGAGGCTCCACTGAGGAAAGGGGTGAGATCCTGAGATCACAAAGGCAGATAGGGAAGGCTCTGCACCTGGCGATGCCTTCTGTTGACAGATCATTGGACGTGCCCCAGACTACCCTGGGAGCTTCCTTGGTCTGCACTGATCTGAACCCAAGTTACTTGGTTCAAGCCCAGTGCCTTTCCCAATATACAACACAGGTTTCCATATAGGGAGTTTTAGTCATTGTCTAATGGGCCCATTTCACTATACCCACCAACGTTTAGTGGAGGCAAGTGGAGCATATCTGGGCAGACTTTGGCTACGTGCAGGCAGTACTGTTCTAAGTCTCCCTTCTTGGCCAGCAAAACCTTGTCCCGATGCTGGGCAAATTGGGCAACTTCTGGAACTCTTAGAATGCTAATGTATTGTCTGTTCTTACTTCATCTTTCTTTATACTATACTTGGGAAAGACCCTCGCAGGAAGACAATCCTGTGCCAGCAAATGGCTCTGCAGTCCCTTCCAAGCTGAAACAATCATGCTACAAATTGCAGACAGCTCCCGAGGCTAATGAGTTCCTCTTTCAGTGGTGTTAGGAGGCAGGGGTCATTTCTTGTGGGAGCGCACAGGAGCGGAGCTCCGGCAGTAAGGAGCCCAGGGGGCGGGCACATGCAACAAGCCCGACCCCCTGCTCCCAGCAGCCCTCAGTCGGGCCACAAGGAGCAAGAAGCAGCCAGGTAAGTTGCAGAGTCCCCCCCATCCTGCCTTCAGGTACAAGCTCTCCCTCCTCTGTGAGGACAGATCTGTGAGGACAGTCCAGTGGAGCCTGAGCGGTGGGTGTTGCCTTCTGACACACTTCCAGGGATGTCAGGGGGTGTGGCATATGCAAATAAGTTATGCTAATGAGCTATGCTAATGAGTTCCTGCACCTCTTTTTCTACGAAATGACCCCTGGTTAGGAGACTCATGCCTGATCCTTTTCACAGCTACCATCGTGCAGGAAAAGTAGAAGATCAGTCTTTTCTCCATATAGGAAGTTGATTGGAGCAGACAATCAAATAAGATGCAAACATTCCAGATTCATTATCTTACAGACCAAAATCTTTGCACAGAAGTGAATCCACTAAAATTACTGGGGAAATTCCAGAAGTAATCAGCTAAAGACTGTATATTTGTCTTTAGGGCTATGAACCTTGTTTCTTCTGCATTGAAAAGGGATCAGGCTTAGGAATGTAATGATGAATAATAACCTGTAAAGGTCAGTGGTCCCCAAATGGCCATCGTATGACCTTTAATAAAGCGTTACCTTGAAAGAAAGGTCTTCAAATGTATTAGCAAAACACAATGCTGCCAGTTTCAGGCCGTTCCCTCTGTGTTGCAGCTGTCTTGAGTTACATTCTCTAGTGAATATGGTGATTAAAAAAAAAAGGAATGGATTTCCCTCACACTAAATTTTTGATGCTTCCTACTGTTTTTGACTTGATTTGCATTAGTGCTAACATGCCTCTAACAGGAAAAGTATCATGCTCTCAAAATCAGTAGAAACACAACAGATGTTAGATGGCACCCTTTATTTTGGAAGATGTACTTTAAGGGCTGTAGGTTACCCAATTCTGTGGCTACCAGGGGTCGTTTGGGGCCGGAGCGCGATGGAGCGCTGCTCCGGGAGCCAAGGAGCAGGCACAAATGGCGGTGGCGGCAAGCCCCACCCCCAGCTCCCTGCCCCACCCCCAAACTCTTTCCGTCTAGAGTTGTACCACAGCAGCAGTGCAATCTCTCCATTTTATTCTATGGCCCCATAGACTCTGGAGAGGAGAGATTTAAACTTTAAACCCCTTCTCTCTTCACTCCCTCCCCAGCCCGCCATTGCAGGCCGGCTGGGGAAGCAAAAGGGGGGCATCTTCAAAAGCCTCCCCTTCCCCAGCCAGCCTGCCAAGGCAGGCTGTTGGGGGGAAGCGAAGAGAAAAGAGGTTTAAAGTTAAAACCTCTTCTCTCTGGAGTCACACGCAGCTGGGGAAGGGAAAGTTTTTGAAGATGCCTCCCCTCTCTTTGCTTTCCCTTCTGACAGCACTTCTGGTGATGTCAGGAAGCATGGCATATGCTAATGAGCTATTATTCTAATCAGGGGTCATTTCCTGCAGGAACGCACAGGAGCGGAGCTCCGGCAGTAAAGAGCCCAGGGGGTGGGCACATGCAACAAGCCCCACCCCCTACTCCCAGCAGCCCTCAGTCAGAGCAAGAAGCAGCCAGGAAAGTTGCAGAGCCCCCCCCCCCGGTCCAAAACAGTCCAGTGGCACCTTTAAGACCAAGCTTTATTCAGGTACAAGCTCTCCCTCCTCTGCGAGGGCCCCATGGATTTGCCATAAGTCGGCTGCAACTTGACAGTACCACAACAGCCATGAAACTGTTAGAATCTGGCAACAACATGCCACTTCCTGTAGAATACTGAGCATCAGGATTCAGGATTCTTTGCCTGACGAAGCATGTCTAGTGCTCCCTTTGTCTACACCCACATACAAATCTCCATCCATTCAACATCTCTTGTTTGTGTTGGCCAGTTTGGTGTAGTGGTTA